TGCTGATGTGAGCTGGCGTGCGCTGAGGAGAGGCGCGCGTGCCCATGGCCATGCGGTGCCGCTTCGGCGAAGGCTGCTGCTTTTGCGTGGACGCGTGTTTCCCGCCGTTGCGGTCAGAGGAGGCGGCGCACGGCTTAGGTTGAGAGCAAGGTTTCCCACTGAACTCGGTCTGCTGAAAACATTCACTTTTGGCTGTGTCACACGCGCATTTTGCGTGTTTTTTTTGAGCTGCGGTGATTTTTAAACACCTGTTTGAAGGACACCAGCTCGTTTTGTGTGGAGGATATGTGAGGAGAAGCCGCTGTGAGATCATCCGAACTGACAGACAGGCTGAAATCAGACACTTTAATTCCTGAATGATGTTTACGTTTTATTTCAAAACTCGAACCATCATTTTGCACACACACATCCTCCGCAAGGACTCATTTTTTTTATCTTCTCTCCCGTGAGCCTTGAGGTTGGTTCTTCCAGGGGGGCGCCTGTTGGCGGTCTCTGAGGAAACGCTGTACCGCTGGATGCCGGGATGAGAAGGGCTGTTCTCTGACGGGAGGGGTCTGCGGTGGAGCGGAGCAAGAAGACGCTGCTGCAGCTGTGGCACGTCTTTGCTGCTGTCTTTGGTCAAGTTGCTCTCTCCAGCGGGCAGGGGGGCGAGAAGAAGTGTGCGGTTTGACCAGATGGCGCACAGCCTCCGACACCTTCTCCGACTTCTTCGAGTTGTCAAGCATGGCCTTGAAGTTGGCTCCGAACAGCGCGTCTGTCGTGATGGGGCCTTCCAACAAGTCCTTCTGCAGCTTTTCTGGCAGGGAGGGGAAGTGATGGAGCCAGGTGGATTGCTGAACCATTGTCATCCAGGCTGCGATGCGAGATAGGCAAACAGCAGAAGAGGCACACAGGTTCAGGATGATGTCAGACATCTTGCAGCGGGAGCTCTTCATCTCCTCAGGCAGGTCTGTTTGTTCCAACCTCTTTGAAATGCTGTACGCCAGCAGCGCAACATTATTGTTTGCTGCGGCCGCCTGGAACGCACACTGGTGAGCTCGGTTGGAGAGCGATGTCACCGTCTGGTCATGCTTTCCCGGAGGCACAGTATGCTGATCCAACCTGGACATCTTTGCTTCGAGAGCCTCCGCCAGACTTGGCTCCGGGGGGGCAACGAGGGAAAACTCCTCTCAGTAAACCCCTCTACTCTGGTGATGGGCGGTAATGTGGAAACCGGCGCACTCAGTCTACCAGGTCCGGCTGCAGCCTCGTTCCAGTAGGACGTCACTGCTGGGAAACGAGGCCAGATGGGATCAGGACGGCGAGCCGGGGTGGAGCCAAACCTTCCCGCTAGATCATCCGATCTGGGTGAGGGGAGGAGAGGGACGGAAAGTCCCTTTGTGTCAGCCGCCTCCTGAATTATGCCGGGCAGCTCCGAGAGGAGGGCATCGACGGCCTCTCCTCCGGGGGGAGGAGGTCACAAAGGTGGCAGGAGGAGGTGAGGTCAGCATAGCGGGGACCCAGGCATCCTTCGCAGATGTCGTGCCAGTCGAAACTCAGCATGTAGCCGGTCTTGCATGACGGACACAGGCGGATGACACTGGTGCTGGACATAGTTGTTGAAGCTCAGTGCTATACGCTTGCTGAAGAAAAATGGGAGCCGATTACCCGCTCTTAATGTAATTTATACGGACCGGTTGGGGCCCACAGAACAGGTGGGCGTGGACTAATTTTTTCAGTGTGATGCTTTGCATGACAGGATAAACCCACCAGCGACAGCCTTAAAGGGTGAAGCCTATACGAAATAGAACTAACTTTACCACAGTTTAATGTGGTGGTATGGCTCTGCAGAGAGTGCACGGTGCCGTCTTGTTTTGTGGTGTTTCTAGTGTAAAATACTTCCACACAGCGACATGTTTAGATGAAAAGTTGGTTAGCTGTTAGCAACAGTGCTGCTAACTCAGCCCTCACGTTGTAGCTGCTGCAAACTATGAACTGGATTTCCTGAATGTGAGGCGGGTCTTATTACTCTGGGTTCATGAGACACGCCTCCATTCAGGAAATCCATTCCATAGTTTGAAGCCAACATGCATCATGGATCGGCAACATCAGCAGGTTGGATCAGAAAATCCAATACGTAAATTATGCTGGTATCGGAGGCTGATACCGATACGGGATCGGATCGGCCCCATCCCTACTAATTATTTTTTCTACAAGTCCTGAACTATGTTTCTTCCTCTCATCATGGACAACAAGTCCTGTGAATTTGAAAACATTTGCTACTTAGTTGCCAAATCCCCCTTCTAACTTTGGCAAATAAAGAGCCAATGTTTCCAAATTCTCAAGGATAGTTGTGTGTGATGAGTGAACCTAAATGTCAAGATGATTAAATAATCACCAAAACATTAGTGTGAACTTCAGGCTGAAATCTTGTGTTCCATGTACTTTGATGTTTAAGCATTTTGTTTCTCCTTAAGAGAAATAAGAGAAAAAACTGACATTAAATACCATAAAACAGCAGCTAGAAATATCTGTTCTCCAATATTGTCATATTTTTCATTTGATGAGATTTAGCAGAAAGCCTATATTTATGTTTTCAGGAAGTTTAATGTTTCGTGTCCTGCTCTCACCAGCTTCCATCCTTCAATATTAGCAATAAAAATTATAAATACGCATGATGTGTTGGTGGCTGACTCATATTTGTCAGGATAAAGTGAACATGACCAAAGTTGTAGATTCTCTCGTCGATTAAAATCAAGAAGTACGACCCCACACAAGACCAGGCTTTTTTATTTGTTTGAGGTTTTACATTTATGTGTTTATGTGTTTATTTATTTACCAGGAGCTATGAAAGTTGCAGCCGTGACGTCAGGACTCGTTTCACCGAGAAATCTGAGGAGCCGCCTCTCCCAAGTAGGTATCTCTGCCAAGTAGGTATCTCTGCCAAGTAGGTATCTCTGCAGCCAAATTCTGAAGGTATCTGGGCGGTCATATCTGATTGGACTATAGGAAAATGGGCGTATCTGGGCGATCATATCTGATTGGACTATATGAAAATAGGCGTGTCTGGCCGGCCGCATCTGATTGGACAATAGAAAAATGGGCGTGTCTGGCTGGCCATATTTGATTGGACGATAGAAAAATAGGCGTGTCTGGCCGGCCACATCTGATTGGACGATAGAAAAAAAGGCTGAACGATAAAATGCCGTAACCACAGACACATTATGTCTAAAAACAAGGTGTTATTGGCAGATTGTGTTAACCACAGGCACATTATGTCTATGGTGTTAACCGGTTCGACATTAGCGGCGTCTCAGGTTCAACAATGGCGGCGTCTCGGTTCGACATTGCTCCAGTATACTGCCGCGGCGTCTCCATAACTTCTTTTTTCGACTCTCTTAACACAGAACTTCCGGTTACATTTCAAAATAAGAGCAACATAACTGGGTAGTGGGGAGAGCTTAATGTTAGGTTTTTTTTTTAATACCTAGCCATAACATTAAAAAAACAAATTCCATTTTGGTTGTTGAAAAATGTGAACAAAGTTACAATCGATTCATAAAGAAAGAAAAATATTAATGATACTTAAAGTGGCCTTGGGACAAAGGAGGTTTCCTTTAAATTCACATTGTCTTGTTCAACCTGCAGACACTACAGATGAGTGATTGTCAGTTTCTGTCAGATTTCTGCACCTGGAGCAGGTATTCTGTTTACTGGTTAACTTCCTCAGCTGTCTCACATTTTAAAGGTCAACGTACTCCATGTTTCAGTAGAAAACCAGCACATTTAGGAGTCAGTACATAACCAGACTTTTGGCCCTCACACCTATACCCAGTTGCTTATGCTGCATGATGAGATCAGATTTATCCATATTTTAGAAATTACATTTAGCTTAGTCGACAAAACAATACAAATGAAGACCGTCTTAAAAAAACTCTTGGTTTTGCAGTAAGCAGAATGATTTCAAACTGACATCTTGGCCAAAGGTAAAATAAAAATCTTTGTGTTCTCAGAAAAGTTGTTTCAGGACCTCCAATAAACTTATGTACACATCAAAGCACACAAGACAGATGCAGGAATTCTCTTTGTTTTCCAGATTTCACATTTGTTATTACCTTAAAACATACTCAGACAACATTTGATGCATCATTGAATTTTTTTATTGTGTTTATTGGGACATCCATTTTTAGAAGTCATCGTAGCATCTGTTGGAAACACAGAACATAGTACAGTTAGGGTGTTGCTAGTTGTTACTTAATCCTGGATTGGATTTTAAAGTTAATTTTGATATTTTTTTCACAAGAAAAAAAAAGTTGATTTCCTAAAGTTTAACTATAAATGAAGGAATTTGTGCCCATCCTATTTGTTAAAAAAAAAAAAAAAAAAAAACTGTAGTATGAGTTTTTATAATTGTTTATTGTTGTTGCTGTTGTCCATTGTTGTCATCTTTCTTTGTTGAAATCAGGTCTCTCTTGTAAATGAGTCCTCGAGGCTCAATGGGATTTACCTGTAGAAATAAAGGTTGATTGATTGACATGGCAGAAAGACATAGATATAATTAACAGCTTTTATTTATTTATTTTTCAGCTAATAACAACTTTTATTTATTTGTTTTTCATATTTTTCAGTTATACACAGCTTTTAAATATTTATTTTTCAAGTATTAAGAACTTTTATTTTCAGCTTTTATTTTGAAAAGGAGCCGAGTGGAGGCTCACGTTACCTCAGTGCGTTACGACAACAACGAGAGAACGGTCGAAACTATCGTGACCTACAATAAACGTACTTCAATAAAATGCATAAGTGAAAACATAACATACTTTATAAGTACAATAAACCATATTTCTTTGTCAAACATCGCAAAGAAACGTTACCTCATCAATGACTCGTGACTTTGAGGGTTACCCACAGCCAATCAGTGTTCGCCGCCCAGAAACGCCTATTCGCCAGAAACGCCCACTTTTGGTCTGCAGAGAACCCCTTCTCGCCTCTCACGTGCACTGCGCGCTCCCGACACAGGGGGGCGGAGTTGCACTCCAGACCGGAAGTGATGTAATGAGCCGGAGCTGAACAAGCTCGGACACTTTTCCCAGTAACCGTCAGAGGAGCTGCTCAGGATGGACGTGCTCGTGTATTTAGCAGCTGCTCTCGTGCTCCTTCTCCTCATCCTGTTCGCGCTGAAGCTGCAGCGGAAAACACGCGACGGTGAGGTGACGTCATGCTAACGCCGCATTAGCATGTTAGCCTTTCATAAATCAATTCTCTGGTAGAGAAGTCTTTTAAATTCTTTATTTAAGTCACGTAGCGTTAACACGCGAGCCTCCTGGTGAGGTGCGTGCCAGTCAGTAAACAGCTTTCTGTCACTTCGCGCTACGTCAGCGCAGTCTGAAACTACGGAAGCGTCTGTGGTCCAATTCAAAGGTTAATTGCCTGTATATTGTCATGTGTGTTCTTTGTGTGTCGGATCAGACACACCTGTTATTTTACACAATAATCAGAGGCTTCAGGGTCAAACAGAACCAGGCAGAACTTCACTGATGTTTGGACACAACTTGTTGCTTCTTTAAAGTCCTCATCAAGTATTTAAACTTTACTGTCAGTACTTCATACATGTTTTTACTGTGTCAGTACTTCATACATGTTTGTACTGTGTCAGTACTTCATACATGTTTGTACTGTGTCAGTACTTCATACATGTTTGTACTGTGTCCGTACTTCATACATGTTTTTACTGACATGTTTTTACTGAGCCCATTAATACTGCTGGGACCAACACTTACTACAACACGGTACAGTGGTCTGTTGAGACCAGGTGTTGGAGGTCCAGGAGGACCAGAGGAGACCAGTTTGATGTTTTTAGGGAGTGTTGTCTCATTCTGGTCTGATGGAAGATTCTAGCTGGTCTACATTCCTGGGTCTTCTCTGCTGGATGGAGCAGATGTTCTACAACCTGTAGATAATTTTCTGCACTGATGTGGAAGCAGTCCCATGCCAGAAGTTGTAATGCACCCTTATACCATCAGAGAGGCTGGTTTTTGAACTGTGAACTGATACCAGGTTGGATGGTGCCTCTCTTCTTTAGACGGGGGTCGTGGCCTCTGTGGTTCCAAACAGAACTTGAGGTTTGGACCCGTCTGACCTCAGAACAGTTCTGGACTTCTCCTCAGTCCGTGTGAAATGAGCTCTGGTCCAGAGAAGACGGCAGCGGA